ATGAGAGGAATTCACATTCGTTTAATAAAAGTGGTTTTGTCGGGGCCAGGAGTCTGCTTCATGCTTTTTTGGGGAAGCCTAGTTCAGAACCGGTGCAGGGGTAGGCTGAAGCAGGGGTGCCCCTTGGCCAAGGAAGGCTGACACTGTAGGGGCAAAGACAGGCAAAATAACAACAACTCTTGCATTGGCGGGAGGGGGCAGAAAAAGGCATGTGAAACAGTGGGTACATTAGAAGCCATGATTTTCCTCCTGGCCAAAGCCATGTCAGCCCCAGCTCTGCCAGGATGCCAGGATTTCCAGAGGCTCTTTGATGGGAGGGGGAGGGCAAAAGGGACACTGAGACCACAGAGACCAAAAGGGACACTTGGCCAGAGGTGGGATTCAGCCGGTTCTGACCAATTCTGGAAAATCAGTAGCAGAAATTTTGAGTAGTTGGTAGAACTGGCAAATATCACCTCTGGCTGGCCACGCCCCCATCTATTCTCTGTTTCCCGAATCCCGGCTGATCAGGAGGAAATAGGGATTTTGCAGTAACCTTCCCCTGCCATGCCCACCAATCCACACCCACAGAACTGGTAGTAAATATTTTTGAATCCCACCACTGTACTCATCCCAGAGACCAACCTTCTGCCCAAAGACCAACCTCGGCCATCGGCTCCAGCAGACTGACGTGGATGGTGACGAGTCCATCAAAACTCTCATCCGGGAACTCCAGCCCCTCCACGAAGAATTCCAGTTCGGCCGAGCCCCCCGTGTATTTCACTACGTGGCTCAGCTTCCTCCTGCCCAGAATGTGTATGTAGCGCTGGCCGAAGAAAGGATCTGGAGAACAGAGGAGAGAGGAAGAGAGCCATGGGGCTTTCCTGCAGCAAAGGTCTACATTCATCATAACACAGAACAATCCATGATGGTCACTGAAGCCAAAATGCTGGGTCAGAACCAAATCAGGGCTGTGGGCAGTGTGAGCACGGGGTTCTGTTTTAAGGAAAGTGGCGCTTGAATCCACATGGGAAAGGATCTTAAAATGATGGAAAAAGCACAACCTTCCCGAAAATAGGCTTGTTTGTGTGTTTAATGAGCTTGAGGTCATAGGTGTCCTCCAGCCTTATATTTAGGGAAATGGAGATCAGTCTTAGCAGAAGAACAGAGATATTGAGGATGATGATATCTCAAGATATCTCAAGACCTAAAATGGACACCTAACATCAAAAAGGCACAACCAAGAATGTTCTTTCTGCGCCAACTCAGGAAGTTCAAACTTCCCAAGGAGCGGCGGATCCAGTTCTACAGAGGAATGATGGAGTCTGTCATCTGCACCTCCATAACTGTCCGGTTTGGCTCTGCAACCCAACAAGACAGACACAGACTTCGGAGGATAATTAGAATTGCAGGAAAAACAATTACTGCCATCCTGCCTTCCATTGAGGACCTGGGCACTGCACGAGTCAACGAGAGGGCTGTGAAAATATCTACAGACCCCTCACATCCTGGGCAGAAATTATTTCAACTACTACTCTCAAAACGATGCTATAGAGCACTGCACACCAGAACAATTAGACATCAAGGCAGTTTTTCCCCCGAACGCCATCACTGTGCTAAACAAATAATCCCCTCAACACTATCAAACTATTCACTAAGGTTGCACTACTATTACTATTAGTCTTCTCATCGTTCCTATCACCCATCTCCTCCCACTTATGACTGCGGGAATGTAAGTTTGTTGCTTATATCCTTACAATTTATATTGATATTGATTGTTCCCTGATGGCTTATTTGTACCCTATGACTATCATTAAGTGTTCTGCCTTATGATTCTTGACGAATGTATCTTGTCCTTTTATGTATATTGAGATTTTATGCACCAAAGAGAAATTCCTTTGTGTCCAATTACACTTGGCCAATAAGGAATTCTATTCTATTCTGTTCTCTTCTGTCTATATTCTATTCTACTCTACTCTACTCTACTCTACTCTACTCTACTCTACTCTACTCTACTCTACTCTACTCTACTCTACTCTACTCTACTCTA